GATGAGCTCAAAAGCCATAGCTTGAAGGAATGAGTGGAAAAATGAATGAGGATGTTTTAGCACCAAGTGTAGTGACATTGAATAAGGACTGGGGTTCCAAAAGGGTAGCCAGATCACAGCAGGGATTTTTAGATGGAAGCTTATTGCTGGCAAAATGGAGAATATAATCAAGTGTCAGTACATTTATACTGGCTGTAAAGGAAAAGGAGAGATGAAATTCCTGGAAGAAAAGAAACAGAAGCTGGCAAGAGATGAGGGTAAACTGAGAAATAAAATAGAGTTACCAACTTCAGAAATTGAGGCAAATCCTGCTTTCCCTCAAATGCTCTTTATATCAGTCAGGGGCTACAGAAATTTGACCCACACACCTATGAGGCTTAGGCTGTAGCCTGCCCCACTCACCCTGTCCCTCATTCTCAGTTCCTCCACTCTTAACCTCTCTGCTTCCCTCAAAACCACAAAGGTGAGTCACACAGGTATAAACAAATAGGCTCACCCTTTGCTGGATGGGAGACTCTGCTCTTCTAACTCCCCAGGAACAAATTCCATATCTTTGCCCCCTTAAAGACGACTATGTTTTTGAGACATAGGATGGTTTGTGGGGGTTTGGGGGAAGAAGAAATGGAAAACAATCAGAGGAAGGGAAGTTAGAGTCACCAGGCTTTTGGAGAAGGTTCATTTTCCACAGCACTTTTAAAAAACACCCACTCAGATTGTAAAATTTGTTATGCAATAGAGAAGAATCCTGCTTAGCTCATGCATCAGTAGAGTACTCATCAGAGGATTCTAGTACTGGAAGAGATAGGTGATTACCTAATGCAACTGTATGACTTGAAATCTTTTGCTGAACAAAATAAAAGAAAAATAAACAAGCAGCACGTTACATGAACGGTCTACTTCTTTCTCAACAGTAGAGAAAGTGGATGTTAGAGAGACTTCTCAAGGCCATGGGGCAGTCAGAGGTGGAATCAGGAGGAGAATCTCCATTTCTGACATCAAGGCTCAGGTTAAGCTGCCTCTCTGGTCTACTGCTTCTTTCACCCTCAGATTAGAAGGAAACGTGTACTTCATTAAACAGTTTAACTTCCTACTGCAACATCCTCTCTGGGGACTCCAGCCAGGTCCTGCTGTCAATGTCTGCAACTGCCTATTGTTCTCTTTGAAGAGGGTGGATCTAATCTCCCAGATGGGTTTCTTCTTCTTAATCCCACCCTTGGGGTCATTTTAGCAGCCCAGCAAGTGGAGAGAGATGGGAATAGATAGTTGAAGCCCCGGAGGGCACATTCATTTGGACAAATAAGAACTCCAGAATCTCTTTTTTAAAATTGGTCCAAAAGACCAACTTTCATTCTTATTCCTTTTTCATCCCAGCCTCCAAATACTTTTTGATTTTGTACTTGTAGGATGTTTGTTTTCAGGACTTTTTTCTCTCTTTCTTATGTGTGTCCCTTCCTTTTAAATTTTATAGGTACATGTAATATTTATGTGTCAGTGACCTTGCAAAGCAGTTTTAGAGATTGACTGTTTACATTTAGAAATTTTCGTTAAGATCTACAAAGTCCTTTGTGCTTTTTCCAGGAAAGGCACTCAGTAGAACCAAAACAAACAAGTGAATAACTCCAATTTGATTGGAGCCAAATCCCTTAGGAGAACAAGAAAAGAAAAAAGTTAGCATTTGTTTTTGTTGTTTTCTTTCCCCTTCTCAATTTAGTCAAATACACTTGAGCCATTCCTACTTCCATTCTGGCTCAGAATTGCATGTGAGCTGTTTAAGTCTAAATCCTAAGCTTCGCTTTGGAGAAATCTTGACACTGGGAAATTCTACAAGGCACACATCAGAAATGATCCAGAAATAATGGAAACAATGTTTACTTCACTGACTCTTTGGAAAATTTATCCCAGTATTCTTTGCATTTATTTCTATGACCATAGAGGATAGAGGACTATTATTGCTCTGGCCTCATTTTACACGTTCCTGCAGGACTAGGACTGCATCATTCGGGCTGGTGACTGGTAATGGGGGGCGGGGGGAGAGGGGCCTCTTGAGGATTTGTCACAGGCTCGGTGATACTTGAGGTCAGTGCTCAGCTGAAACCCACCAACTGGAGTCACATTGAGTTGTTTGCTCAATCTCCTACACCCCCTTCCCAGCTTTATTTGTTCTGAAAAAAAGTTATCTTGGGAGGTGGCAAGTGTAAGTGATGGGATTGAGAATTCCTATATTTACATTTTATCCCTTCTAACTACTAGTTATTTGACCTTGGGCAAGATTGCTTGAGTTTCCTGACTACATAATAATGATAATAATACCTACCCTACACCACAGGTGTGAGATAATGAACGTAAAAGTTCCTGGGGTAGTTCTTGACAGTTTGTGCTTTCTCTATGCAACAAAACTCTCTGAGCTTCTTTTTTTTGGAAGACTGAATATATCCAACACATCGTGCCTCTTGGATAGCACGTGTTGCAAAACAAACTTCCAATAAAATGAGATTGAATGCAGGCTAAGGCAGACCTACTCATCCTTCTCCCTTATGGAAATGACTCTCCCATGGTTCCTATCATAGCAATGAGGATACCACCCCTCTGGGATTGCAGCCTCTGCATAGTAACTGCTAGAACCAAATGGAACTAGGTTTCTCTCCCACCCAGAGTTCTGGCTTCTCAAAATTTAGTAACTGAAACAACAGGGAAAGATCCTCAGAACAGACTATAGCACAAAAAGTTTGAAGTCATAGGATATGAAAGTGGTCAACCAGGTGTTACTTCCTGCATGTGTAATAATATTAACCTCTCTTTTTTTCTACTACCTTTGAAAGGTAAGTGTATACTACATGAGATGCTATCATATAAGGCATTGGCTTGCTAGAAGCTAGGATGTCAAAAGAATTGTATCCCTACTTCCACCTTCTCAACACCCAAGCCACTTCAAACTTTGTGGTCTTCAGGGTCTTAGGTTTTTTTTTTTTAATTAAAAAAATTTTTTTGGGCCTCCCCTGGTGGCGCAGCGGTTGAGTGCTGGGCTGCGAAGCTGCCCGCAGCCTCAGCAGCACTGGTTCGATCCCCGGCCACCAGGGAGGGTCCCACATGGTGCGACAGACCTCTCCTGCTGTGCCCGCTGCTCCCCTCAGCAGTGTATTTCATCAGTCTGCCTGTTCTGTTCCCCGCTCTGGCTCTGGTGAATTCTCTCACCCTCCCATGCTTCTGACTATACCCCAGCTCTTGTATAAAAAGAAATAAATCTTTAAAAAAAATTTTTTTACATTGTTGTTCATTTTCAAACAATATTTGCTTCTCCCCACCCCCTCAGGTGTAGTCCCCATAGAGTTTCCTTCCCCAATGCACCCGCGCACCATCACCTCAGTCCCCTCTGCTCCTCCCTCCCTCCCTCTGGTCCCTCTCCCTCTTCCTCCCCTGCAGTATGTCTCTGATTTATAATTGTCTGGTTTTGCTTTGTTGTGTTTTGTACTGTTATTATTTTTTACACTGATGTATTATTTGGTTCCCCTATATTCTTGCTATAAGTGAAGCCATCCGATATTTTTCTTTTTCCTTCTGGCTTATTTCACTGAGCATAATTCCTTCTAGTTCCATCCATGTTGCTGCGAATGGCATGAGTTTATCTTTTTTGTTTGCTGAATAATATTCCATTATGTATATATATCACATCTTCTTGATCCAGTCATCTATTTTTGGGCATTTAGATTGTTTCCAGGTTTTACCTATTATAAATAGTGCTGCAATAAACATAGCGATGCAGGTGTTCTTTTGAATCAATGTTTTTGTGTCCTTTGGGTAAATTCCAAAGAGGAAATGTAAATGGCCAACAAGCATATGAAAAAATGTTCAAATCCCTTATCATCAGGGAAATGCAAATCAAAACCACATTGAGATACCACCTTAAACCAGTAAGAATGGCACATATTAAAAAAACTAGTAATAACAAATGTTGGCGAGGATGTGGTGAAAAAGGAACTCTCCTACATTGCTGGTGGGAGTACAAACTGTTCCAACCACTATGGGAAGCTGTCCGGAGATTTCTCAGTCTACTAAAAATGGAGCTACCATATGACCCAGCAGGGTCTTAGGCTTTTTTTAAGGAAAAAATTCATACTCATGGAACAGTAGTTTTGCTTGACTCAGAATATTTAAAAAAGGAATTTAGCATTTAAGAAATCCAAAAACTATACTAGCAAACGGTACAAACAATAGAAACATATCTTAAGACTTTTTAAATTAGAAAAAAAATTCCAACAAAGCAAAAAAAAAAAAAAAAATCCATCCCAATTATTCTACATTGGGCAAAAAGATTAGTTAATTTGAGTGTGAAGGCAATTTTTTCTAAGATTTTATTAAAAGTAATGCATCTCCTCTTAATGAGGATCAGAAGAATAATATGATCACTAGCCCACAGAAAAGACAAATATTTACTGAATGAATAAATGAATGTTTCTAGGAGTTGGAACAAGAAGAAAAGATAGTCTTTGGGAAGCAAAAATCCAAAAATTTTTAAATGAAATCTCTTTGCTGAGAGGCCTGGGCTTGAGGTGTTGGCTTTCTGGAAAGAAAGGCTCTGTTGTATTTCAGCTGTAAGATGTTGTGCATGTGCTCCATTTAAGGTAAGGGCCAGTGACCCTGAGTTCTGTGCCAGGACCTGGAGCAACCCAAACACTGAAAGATGCAGAGGAAAAACTAAAAGAAAGTGGGTTGATTTAGTATAAAGAGAAAGCTGAGATGTGTTAACCATAAAAGAGCATTCAAAGATTGTAGGAAGGACAATATTTCTCATAACATATGTTTAAAACCAAAGATAAAGGGATTTAGATTAGGCATAAAAAGTATTTTTTTTTAAATAAAAATACAACATAAAATTCACCATTTTTAAGTGTATAGTAGAGTAGTGATAAGTATATATATGTTACTGGGCAATAAAAAGGATTTTTTGACAATGAAGTTAGTGAACAAAGTTGAATTTCTCTCTCTCTGTTGATCTCTTTCAGTTTGCCTGTAAGAATATGGTTTTTTCCTTTTCGAAATCTTGAAAAGAAGCTCACTTTATGAGCCCGGTAGGCTAACAGAGGTAATTTCCTAAGGATTTCTTCCAACCCTAATGCCACTGTAAGGCAGTGATATAACCGACTCCATGCTGAAGTGGACTTACCGATGAAAGTAAGTTCAATTTGCTTTGAACAAAGTGAGAGATACATGGTTATGCTACAAATGAACTCTCACACTTATAAAACTGAGTCATTTGATTTCCAACCTTGGGGAGTTGTAAGTTTTGCTTTAACCTGAAGACTATAGCATAATTATAGCTCTAAACCGCTCACTTTACCTTGGGTTTATATGCGTTCAACATCGACATCTCTACATTTTGACCTCTGACGTGTTTGGGCTGCCTCTGGACAGGCGGTGATGATGACTTCTGATTATTGCGGCAGACACAAATGAAGAAGAAGAGCAAGGCGATGGCTAGGGGAATAGCAACACTTGGCACCAGTATGTAGAGGATTTCCATTTTATTTTTCTCCTTGGAATCTTTTGAATCTGGGTGCAGGAATGAAAAAGAGGAAAAGTTAGACTCGTTCAAATACCATGTAGGCTATCACATCATATAGTTTAAAATGACCAACTATTCTTCTGTATACACAATCAGGAAAAAATAATCATTGCTGTTAACAACTCAGTTCTATCAAACCTTTGATACAATTTATTGAAGTTTAAAATTTGAGAGTTCAGATGTTTAAAAACTTCAAAGGGACTTTGGGAAGGCTTTGCAAGTATGTGGGTGCCCCTATGAGGTTGCTTCTCTGGAGCAGCAGACCTGCGTTTCTCTCACACCTTCAAAGTTAAACGGCACGTAAATAGACTATATACATCCAAGAGCATTAGTGTGAACTACAGGCTCTTCTTTTACTGGCTGCCAGCCCAGATCAACCCCAACATGGTGTTTCAGAAATCACACCCTTGCCAGGTTGGTTTGGATGTACAGGGCCAGTCTTCCAACTTCTAGAATCAACATCACTAAAGAATCCTGGCCCCGGAGTCCAAAAAGCCACTGGGTTAGAATATGGGGTCCTGAAGTCAGAGCCAGCTCAGTCATTGAGGAGCTGTGTGACCTTGAACAAGTCATTCACTTTACTGCACCTCACTTTTTTTTATTCACAGTAGTGAGGTATCTGTTTGGATGATGGTGTACAATTCCCTCCAGCACAAAATCAGTGGTTGACTTGATGTTTTTTCTAAAACTCAAGAATTCTTCTTAAATGCTTTCATATGAATCCAATAATTATGACTGCTAACACTTTGAGCTATATATTTGAAATCTTACATGTCCACTGGACCCTTACTTTGAAAATAATATACAATATCTATAGAAGAACACAAGGCATACTTTCTTTTCCAATCAGTATGAGCCTGACCATTAAAATTAAAAACGCTTAGCATATATTATTATTAATGAATTATTTGACTGGCAAAATAAACATAAGAATTGTGAATGGTAATTAGATGGGTTACATAATGCTATGCCCTACTGACCAATAACCCTATCAACTCTCTTGCTTTGAGAAAACCTAAAGTACAAAAATTCAGATTGACACAAAATGCAGGGATGCTTATTACTTAGAAGAATTAACCATGCATCCATTCACTTATTCTCACACTACTCAATAATTCAGGTAACAAAAGTTACTATTGTCAAAAACATTCTTCTATGTACTGGGAATGCTGGGAATGTAACATTAAACACAACACTTCGCGGCCTCCCCTGGTGCACAGGCGGTTGAGCACCACGTTGTGAGGCTGTCCGTGGCCTCTGCAGTGCTGGTTCAATCCCTGCCGGCCGGCGAGGGTCCCACATGGCACAGCGGACCTCTCTTGCCATGCTGTTGCTCCCCTCAGCAGCGTATTCCATCAATCTGCCTGTTCTGTTCCCCACTCTGTCTCTGGTGAATCCCCTTACCCTCCCACGCACCTGGCCTGTGCCCCAGTTCTTGAATAAATAAATAAATCTGAAAAAAACAAACAAACAAACAAAACACAACACCTCTTTTGCTGTTAAGGAGCCATGGTCGGGGAAGGAAGACAGAGGAGATAATTACAGTATGTTGCTGGAAATGTTACAGTGGAAATATGACTAGAGTGGTGAAGAGATGCAAAAGTTCCTTTACAGAGTGAGTTTCCCTGGCCTCCCTGGTGGCCTAGGGGTAAGTCTCAGTGCTATCGCTGCAATGGCCTGAGTTCGTTCCCTAGCCAGGGAGCTACCCACATGGCACAGTAGACCTCTCCTGTCTCACTGCTGCTGCTCCCCTCAGCAGTGTATTTCAATCAATCTGTTCTGCTCCCCACTCTGTCTCTGGTGAATCCTCTCACCCCTTGCACCTCTGGCCTATACCCTAGCTCTTCTACACAAAAGTAGATAAAATCTTAAAAAAAAAAAAAACTTATTAAAAAAAAGAGTGAGTTTCCTTTGTACATGTACTTGAGAATATACTACTATGTAGTTTTTACTTGTACATGCCTTCTTTAAGGACTTATTGTTCAGGTGAGATAGGGTAGTAATTAACCACATCTCCTTTTCCCCACATAAATAAGAAAATAAGAAGTTAGGAAGGGGCACCCAAAGATGGGTGTTGGGACTGTGCTCTGTAGGTTAACCCACAGAACGATCCGGACAAAGATAAAATCTGGTTCTGGGGTAAGAAAATTACCGATCTACTATGTATTGTTTTCTACTGGCACAGAGTCATGTCAGTTATTATTAACGTGGGCCAGATACAGTTCTAAGCACATTTCCTTAACTCATTGATTTCTACCATCACAATCAATTCCCATAAGGTACGTGCCATCCTTATCTTCATTTCTATAGGTGAGGAAGCTAATTGACAGTGAGGAAGTAAGGACCCAAGTATATGAAGCTAGGAATTCAAAAGCTGGGATTCTTCTCCTGTTGCTTTTGCTTCTTACCCCTTACTCTGGCTACTCACGCCACTGCTAGGAATTTGAGAATGGCTCTTGGTTTGCACCCATTTTCTCATGGTAGGATTTCTCTTGTTTCATGTAAGTAGGGAGGATAATGAAGGTTTGAAAGATGAGGAATAACACTGAAGCTTTTCCAGATGTGCTACTTTTGAAGTCCCTACTGCATACAGTGTGGCAGATGAATTTATAATCCAGCATCCCTGGAGTCCATTCTTATCATTGATGGGAACTGGGGGTATGTTTTCATACTAGCAGTTTTAGTAACAATTGTGTCTGCATGTGTGTGGATGGGTGGGTAGACAGAAATAACATGGAAGACTCTCTACCGTATGTACATGTACACACACATATACAGATATACATAAACACATATACAAAAAAAAGATTTATATGTTTTAGAGTCTGAATCCTTTGAAGATGGCCTTTGTCATCATGTGCCCTTCAGCAGGCACTTAGCCTCTTTGAGCAAACTAATATAAAATGGGGATGGTAATGCCAATTCATAGAAAGGTTGAAAACAATAAACAAAGTAACATGGAGAAGGTTGAAAACAATAGACAAAGTAACATGGAAAGTGTCTATTCTAACTATAAGAAAGTGAAAATCAAAATCAACAAAAAACTGTGAACCAGAGACACTCTATGGAGGTTAGGGGGCGGGAGGGGAGGGATTGGGGTCAAAATAAGGGGGTTGCAATTGCATGGGGAATATAAAAATAAAATTTATTATTAAAAAAAATAAAGTGTCTATTCTAGTACCTGTGCAAACCCAAGTACTCAACAAGCACTCAACATTTACTCTTTACCTTGGAGTGAGAGGGGATTCAGGGAGACGAATGTTGGACTGGCAATTCTACATAGCCTTAGGCAAGAAACAACCTTTTTGATCTCAATATCCTCATCTGTTCAAGGGAGATAATAATAATGATTCCACCATTATCTTATTTGGTTCAGGGGGAGAGAACATTCTCGAAAGAACCCTGGAAAACTTTCACACAGTTGTTAGATCCTATGATTTATAATTAACATTATAAAACACTTAAAAGATTTGTTAGTACCATTGGGGGTGAGGTGGGGAAAGGGGTCCCTCTTGTTATTCTTGGATTTTTTCAGTGAAATTATTATGAGGGTAACAATTACAAAAGGAATGAGGTTAATTTAGTATTAATGTACTGGTAGTCATTTTTCTGGCCTAGAATTTGAGCAACAAAAGAAAGTAGGACTTTCACCTGTCTGGCAAACAAAGGAGTCTATTCTGTACTCATTTCGTATCAGATTTTTCACAGAGTACCTTTGATTGTAAACAGGAGGACTGGGACAAATCCCCCTGTTGGTTTGCAGAAGAACAAACTTCAAGAAGCTAAATCCTTTAAACACAGTAAAACTTGGCTCCTTCTGATTACTCTGAGGATATGCAAACACGCACAATGTCTTCTTGCCAAGTGAAATAATCAAGCAGAACAATACATGGTCAAGTTGGAAGTGACAGAAAATAAATTCAGGCCGATTATAAGTCTGTGATATAATAACCCACTTACTTCCCCACACAGCTTGTTTAGCTGGAAGGGAACCATAGTCTGGCTCAAAACACTTCATACAAGAACAACTTCACAGAACAACTGAACTGACCCATGGAAAACTATAAAATTAACCTTAGTCTAACCCCTTTTTAAAGTTCTGACATTTTTATTCACTGTTTTAACCTGATCCTGGTGTTACCTCAATTATGATGGATAAGAAAGGATAAATAATTTGCCAAAGCTAGGAAGGGTTGGAATGCAAATCTGAATGTCTTTACTCCATCTATATTTTTAATATTATATTACTAATGAAAATTAAAGTGCTATATTGAATTGTTTTTTTGTTATTCTCCTTAAAATTCCATGGTTCCCTCTCACTGGGTATCATATTACCGAAAGAATCACATTAGAACAATGGACATTATTCTTACTCTTCACTTGAAAGGGTGATAGATATCTCCACTGCATTGCAAAGAAAACTGGCTGAATATTACAATGGTGAAGATTTTAAATACTTTTGAATAGCTACTTAAAAGTTAAACTCACATATTAGTTACATCAAGTTAAATACTTGGGATTTTTGAAACCAACAATTTAGTCTGGATCACATGATTAATTTCCTTTTAAAAATCAACAATATGGTATCACAGTTCACATCTGACATTCCTATTTTATTTTTACAATGACATTTGATACTTTGATTAGTAATTAAATATAACAGAGAAAATACTCCTTCCTTATCCTGGGGCTTATAACAAGGTAAATAATGATTTTTTATTAAAGATGTATTTTTATAAAGGGACACATTATCTGGGACATTAGTTTGAGTTAAAACAAGAAAATGCTTAGATCTTTTTTTTTTTTTTTTTTTTTTTAGGAAATGATTCCAAAGTTTTAGTCAATATTGAAATTTTACAAATCAAAGAGCTCTTGCATTATATTATTCAATAGATACAAATGGAAATATTTCCTTTCAATACTCTGGATATATTGTCTGCATAATACTAAACTATCTCATATTTATAAAGGTAATATATATATATAT